TTTCTTTAATCTCCTTTAAATACAAAGAAAATGAGAGTTGCTTTTGACTTGCAGCAATTCTTATTTATTAATAATGTACTACATGTACTTGTTTTGTGAAAACCACAATAATCAAACAAAAATCATACAATATATAGTTAACTTTCTTATTGTAAATGAAAATGAATGTATGTATCAAATATGTGTATATTTTAGTGATTTGTATGCTTAATAGATGTAAATAATGAAAGTTGTAATGCAAAAATACTTGTTGCTGCGATCAAAATGTTTATAATGCACTATTTGGTTTTGTAAAGTTCATTACAATCAAACAGAAATCACACAATATATAATTTACTTCTTATTGTAAATGAAACTGAATGTATGTATCAAATAAGTGTATATTGTAGTGATTTGTATTTAAAATATAGTAATAATGAGATTTAATCATTCATCCAGTAAATCTGTTAATCAAATGAAGTACAACTTGTTGAGAGGCGGAGTTTCACTTGACCAACAGTAACACAATTGATTTTAAATTCATTTAACAGTACCCTATATCAAAATATTTACCGATTTAATATGGTGAGCTGCTGTTCCCAGAGTTCATCTTTCTATGTGTTGAAGCCAGGACCATACTTTGCCAATAATTAAAACAATTAAAGAATCCTTAACTATATATTTGTCGTTTGGTCTTCTTTTTGATAATGTCAGTTGCTATGCAAAAATGCTTGTTGCTATGGTCAAAATGTTGTATTTGGAAAATCACTAAAATTAAATGGAAATTACACAATATATAGTTAACTTTCTGGATGTAAATGAAAATGAATGTATGTATCAAATATGTGTATATTGTAGTGATTTGTATGTAAAATAGCCGTAAATAATGTCAGTTTCTATGCAAAGATGCTTGTTGCTATGGTCAAAATCATTATATTTTTCTTTTATCTCTGAATAAATAAAAAGAAACTGTTAGTCTAAGATAACAAATATTACAGCTGTAATAGGAACATGAAATTTTGAGTTCAAAATGTTAATTTTAACACAAAATGTTGTCTTTTTAAACCAGAGCTGAATATGTTACTATGGCCCGTTGCTATGGCCTGTTGCTAAGGACAAACACAAAAAAACATTTTAAGTTTTACAGAATTTGTTAGGTCTTTACTTGCACATTCCATTGGTATAAGTATAAAGGGAATAATGCATGGGGCCAAAAACACCCCTTAGTGCATATAGTCCTTTTTGTTTTGTATTTTGGTATGCTATCTGTGTACAAATTGCGGAAATCTGGGGTTGATGAAATCTCTGTAGAGATGAGAGGTGAACTGACAACTTTTGAGACAATGCTGCTGACTCGTCAGCAAATGGTGGTGATCAGAGGAAACGTAGGAATGTATACATTGAAAAAATCTTCTTCTTATGAATAAGAATATAAACATCACTTACTTGCTACTTAACTAATAAAGATTTAAGCTAACTAATAAAGATTTAAGCTAAATAGTTGTATGTAATGTGGTGCTTTGCTCAGTGGTTGGCAGGCGACGCTGGTCTATATTGAATGACTTTTACACTTGAAATGATCTTAATCTACTTGGCAGATGTCATTGATTAAGGAGAAGATGCTATACTCTTATAGAACACCTGGTTTTGTTCTCTTTTGTACTTTTTCAGAGTCTCTAAGTAGACCTTGCCCATGGTTTGATGGTGCTTTGAATTTAAATTAAGATTTTTTATGTTAAATATGTGGTCTCTCTTGCAAATACTTGTATTCTTTCATTTTTTAGAAAGCACTATTGCTAATTTGATTGCTAAAAATTATATACCTATTCAACCTTGTAACTGAGAATTCTTGTAATTTGCAGACTGGCAAAGGAGTACCTGTCCTTATTCCAGCAGATGTGAGAGATACCATGAACTTTTTGAATAATCCCGAAGTGCGACAGCAATGCATTGAAGATGTCAATCGATATGTGTTTGCAAATTCAAGTAAGTTTTTAAGTGTAGATTTAATGTAGATTTCTTCATCATTCAAAAGAATGTTGATCAATAGAAGAACTGTTTGATTATTAATGAGTTAACCTTACTGACGTTTATAATGTTCATGTTTTTACTTCATTTAATAGACATTGGAGTGATCCGAGCTTATGATGCCATAAGGACAGCAGCCAATCAAGCAGGACTTCAAATGCCACACCTAATCAGAACTAGCAACATGAGGAAGTATTTTGCCACAATGTTACAGGTATGATAGCTATTATTCATTGTATACATAATCAAAAACTTAAGTTTATGATATTTGGCTAGTACTTAACACAAGTTAACAGTTTTTTCTCGAATGACTTATTTAGAGATGTAAGAACAATGAACTTCTGTGCAAATAATTCCTTGTATATTCAATAAACCACAATGATATCACAGACCCTTTACACTTTTCATTGAGTATATCATTATTTTGCAGGCATTTGATACAACAGAGGCGGAGAGACAGTGGGTAGTTGACCATTTAGGCCATACGATGGATGTCCACCGATTCCATTACAGACAAACCTCTGATTTGCTTGAACGTGTTGATGTTGCCAAGCTTCTGTTGATCCAGGATCTGGGTTAGGTTAGAAAGTTCCAAGGGAAACAGCTCAGAGATATTCAAATCAATGGTACTTAAAAAAAAATTATGTCCGAGTGAAAACACAAGTTTTGGACTGCTAACTTTAACTTAGTAACAGTAATTGAAATTCTGAATTTTTGTCTTAAAATACCAACAGGAGATTTGCAATAAATGTATGAGGGTTATGTTACATTCATTGCTATTTTTTCCCCCATGAATTATTGCTTTTTACTGATGATTTGCTGCATTTTGTCCACAGATCTCTTTGATGCCACTGATGATTCGAATACCTCATGCTCTTCAGCATCAGCTACAGTGACCTCTAGCTCCACCACATCTTCAATGAATTCATCAGGCTCAGCTAGCTCCTCATCTTCAGATGGAGTTTTGTCCAAATCCCCTGCTCAAAACACAATCTATGATGAGGATTTTATTCCTTATTCATCCAATTCCGATGAAGATGATGATAGCATTTCACCAGGTATTTTAAATGAGTTACTTGTTTTACTTTAAACTAGGGATAGGAAACCCAGCCATGGATATAAGTGATTTTATTCTGGAGTCCTGGGGTCAGGTAGATGGAATAACCCTAATTAAAAAGCCATAAATTTAGGCTTAAGTGTCGAATTACTACAATACCAGTGCTACGATATTTAATACTTTAAATTGGTATTCTGATGATTTATTTATTTAATCTGTTTTAGCAAAGCAAAAAAGGAAATCATCTGGTGCTGTGAAAAGGCAAAGGTGGAGTTCAACTGAAGTCAAAGAACTGGAAACTTTGTTTAAGGATGACTTTTCGAATAACAGTTGCCCTGGGCAGAAGAGAATTGAAAGAATCATGAAAATAAACAAGGGAAGAAAGGGGTTGATTCACCTCCGCCCAAGAGATACAATAAAAAAAATTAAGCAATATGATGATCAACAAGAGGAAAACAAACAGAAAATGAGATGGAACTGTACAAACTGTGGTGAATATTCCACTTTTGACATTTCTGTGCAATTATGTTTTTGGACATTTCTGTACAACACATCTTGTTTGAAATACATGCTTCATAATCTTTAGGTTTTGAATTGTCAATCATAGGACGTGTGATTGTTTTAGCTTGCCTAAATGCTTAATTTTACTGAATCACCAAGCCAATTTTGACCAAATGTGGTCTGAAGTATCTTTGGAGGAAGAGGATCAAATTTATATAAGTAGTGCGTGTGTGTCCCATTGGGCCTGAGAGGTGAGGCCCATATGGGAAAAATGTAGCGAATTCTCTAAAATCCTACTTAGTTTTTAAGGAGTTGTTACATTGATATTGTCAATATTTTATCTGAAGCATCCCATGGTGAAAGGGATTCGATGATTTGTAACCTGGCAGTCTGGAGCAGGTAGGATAGGGCCATGATATTGTTCAAATTTGATCAGAAGTAACCCCTTGTGGAGGGAAATGTATATTATACAAGTATTGGGTGAGAAGAGGTGGAGTTCTATGGGGGAAATAAATTCTTAAAATCCTGCTTCACAGGATTTGCTACAATCCTTTGATTCTTGTGCCATAGCTTTGAAACTGTGATCCTTGCGTAAATCCAGGTGGGCCTTTTGTTGGTTTTTAAATTTATTTTAGTAATTTTGACATCCAGGATTGATGAAAAAGTCAAAGATGCTTAGATATTGATTAATATGCATGACATTTATTGTAATATTTTAATTGTAATAATATTTTCGCTTCCCCTTCAAATGAGACATTTTGTTAGTACTGTTCTGTTTCCGATTGGTCTTGTTTTTCAATTTTTTCTTGCCCAACCATAAGTGCTAAACCGTAGAAGATATCTTGATCAAACTTGGTATGTAGTTGTATCACCTACAAGAGATGTGTAGTGCACTTCCAATAGGTCACTGTTGCCTTGACCTAGAGGTCAAAAAGGTGATTTTTTCAAAGTATCTTATTTAGGCCATAATTGCTAAACCATACAAGGTTAATTGACCAAACTTGATAAGGTCAAAGTCAGCTTTTGTTTTATATATTTCTTTTTAACATACCTCAGTTTTTTTTAGAAAAGGGAGACATGTGTTTTAGTTCTCAAAAGCAATTTTCCTAGTTGCTTGTTTGCTTTGAAACTTCTGTGTTCTGATGTATACCTTGATATAATTGGGCATATAGTAGGATGGATTGTCTATGATACTGTGGCCATGGGGTGACTCTTGTGTGCAAAGTAACTTGTTGATGAAAATTAGGCACATAATGGGGTCATTTGTCCATAAAATTACATAGTTAGGGAACTCTTTTTTTCTGAAGTCTGAAAAGTCCATATAAGAACAAATATTGTGTTTGCCAAAATGTCTTCCTTCAAAATTGTTCTATTAGATAATACTGGTGTTGGGAAAAGTGCTCTGTGTGTGCAATTTGTTCAGCATGTTTTTGAGAAAGAATATGATCCCACAATTGAGGATTCTTACACAAAGAGAATTTTTTGGAATCAAGAGAGCTATGTACTGGAATTGATAGACACTTCAGGTGATGTATAAANGAGATCAAAGTGTTCGGCTTGGCCAAGGTTTTATGATTGTTTTTGCAGTCAATGACCAAAAGTCCTTTGAAGATGTCAATATGTACATTGAACTAATAACAAAACTGAAAAATGGCAATGTTGCAGTGATTCTTGTGGGGAATAAGACTGATTTGACTCCAGTTGTTGAAGCGGAAAGTATCGAAAGATTGGCTTCCTATTTGCAGATTCATTTCATGACAACAACTGCAAGAAATTCAAAAGATGTAGATTGTGTGTTCCATACCATTGTTGCAGAAATGCAGCAAAGAAAAGAGGTGCCCATGGAAAAGAATGATAAACTTTGCTCATGTATACTGTTGTAGATGTAAAAACTTAATGATCAGTTTGTATTGGATATTGTTAATATAATGACAATTTATTGCATATGGAAAGGAATGGTTTTTAACACCGCAGTAATTATGAAGGAACCCATGGATAGCTATGTTAACATTATATAATAATTACAACTAAGTTTATTGCATATGGAAAGGAATGGTTTTTAAACACAGCAGTAATTATGAAGGAACCCATGGATAGCTATGTTAACATTATATAATCGTTACAACTAAGTTTATTGCATATGGAAAGGAATGGTTTTTAAACACAGCAGTAATTATTAAGGAACCCATGGATAGCTATGTTAATATTATATAGTCGTT